CCTTTAGCCTGTTGATTGAAGAAACCTCTGTTATACTTAGGCCTGAAATAGTGGCTAAGTTGTGTTGTGTTTCTCTGAGGCTTAGGTCTGATTTTAGGCGTGGTTTCTTGGCGGTTTTTGGTAGACCTCTTGGTCGATGATCCAAGCCAAGATTGAAGGAGGCTTGGTTGGTTCTTGATCTCTCTCTGGACGGCAATTGCAAGGCGTGGAAGGCTGTTCCTGAGCCTATGTCATTCGACCTTGAAGAAGGAAAGAACGGCCACAGCAACCGGGGAAAGGGAAGTAGTTTTCTGCCCATATTTAAGTTCTGATTTCAGTACCTTGATATATATACATTCTGCCTTGTTTATTTGTCTCGGTTTTATGATGTTCAGTCCTCAGTACTTAGGTTTCTGCTGTTTGTTGATTAATATATATGCTAAGCAAATGTTGGATCATTATGCTATATATTTTGTAAAGTGAGGCAAGTCTGATTCTGAGCTGTTGAACTTTGGTAGCATTGTCATTTGGAGTCTATATATTGCTATGTATTTCCCAACAGTGGGGAAATGAAAGAACCAAGAACTGCAGCCTGTGAAATAGAAAACCCACCTTCAAAATATTTTAGGATACTACAGAAAAGATCAATTAGTATACATAGATCACAATTTGTTCACTGAAGTAATGAATGCGGGACGTGAGTACTGGTGCCTATTCTAAGGCCACCAATAATTATTAATGACAAGGTAATTAATAAAATCATCCAACCAAGAACAGCACATATGTTCCATTTTGAATATTAACATACAAATTATCACCACCCATTTTGATCACCATAAACTTTTGCTAATTAGGAAAGAAAAATCCTTCTTGGAAACATCAAAAAGACCAAACTGTAGATGAAATTAGGTGCAAAAATATGTGTCAAAGCCATGATATATGATAAAATAATTGCTGATTGAAAGTCAATTGAAGAAGAAAGTGGTACCTGGGAAACTGAAGCGGCTGTTTGATCTTACAATTGGTTGCTTTCATTCACAATCGAATTATGAGAGTTCTTCAAACTATATTTACACTTCCAAATTTCATCAAAAATCGATTTTTTTTCTCTTTTCTTGATTTTTTTCCTACGGTGAGTGTTGAGCTTTAGGTTCGGGAATTGTTTGAGGTTAGCTATGGATACTGAGAAGTGCAGGTGTACGTATGTGCACTTATGATTAAAAGATACTTTTAAATTTATTATTATTATTTTAATTTTGAGCAATTAAAAATTACTTATATGAACTTCATTGTGTTGGTATTTCATTAATATTCTATTTTCTAAAATGAATTAACTATGTGTAAAATTAAAATAGATAATTTTCAATGAACAAACTCGGTAGGCTTTGAACTAGTCCCGCTTCCTCATCCCCATGCAAAACTCGCTGATGCAAGACTTGCCATCGGTTGCTCGTGAACGTGAGGCCATTGCGCGAGCAAACATGTTGTCAAGCTTCATCAGTTAACCACAAAGAGTGTGAGCATTAGTGTGTTCAAGCTCATTTTGTAGATTAACCAACGATCAAGGAACTGTCACTTAATTAGTGTTTTAATTGAAATTCTTTTCGCCAAATGAGGGACGTACCCTCCATTTGTCGCTCTTAATAAGCACTACATGTAACATGTCTATATGTAGAGATTGGAATCATGTATGAACTTTCAACATTTCTACATTAACGCATCTTTTTCTTTGAAATATACTGACTTGATCATAAGAAATAAATCTAAAAAGAAACAATTTGTATTACATGCACAAGCAAAAGCTTTTATCAGTCTTTGTCCATATATCTTGATCACATTATCCTTACCATTGGACTTTCTAATTTAAAGCCATCAGCACCAACCTCTGTAATACAAAAAATCGAAGAACCAAATCCAATGCACCAATGCTTACAAGACACGAGAAAAGTTGAGGGCAAGCAAACAATGGCGACTATGGACCAATGAGAACCTCACACTAAGAGGGGTAAAATACGTTCATCGTTGTACTGGCACAGCTTGCGACTTCTCTTGGAGCCTTTCAGCTTCGCCGCCTATTTGTTAGCAGAAATAACTCAGACGCTGACCACACCAGCTACCCATGGAACAATTACTGGCGCTTTTGGATGTGCATTTCTATATGATTCAGGATACCTGTCCTTAAAATTTGATTTGGGTTTCTCCGACTGCAAACGATAATCAAAACACAGATTTATTTTTGATGCATTACGGGTTATGATATAAATGAGTAAATCAGAACGACTTCATGTACAGTTTGCAAGTGAACTTACATATTTCAGCCAGCATTCTTGATTTTTGTGTTCATAAATATCTGGAGAGTGGCATCCAGTCTCGGATGGGCAATAAACCCATATATTGCATCTCTTTTCACCAGGTTTGGCACGTTTGGCTTGATTCAGACAGGCCATACAACATTCATATGCAGACTCTTTATGGTGGGTAAGGCCCCACCTGACAGCATCACCACCATAGTCTGTATGAACTTCGGCATGGCATTCAAGAGGGAGCTGTCTGCCTGGTAGGATCCGACTGTCTGGAAAGACATAAATATATCTCAGTAAAAGGAGAAGTGCATCTCAAATCCGAAAGGACGAGAAAGACAGCAAAGAAAAGAAAGTGAATTAGTAAAATGTTTAGGCGATACAAAATAATTAATCTTTAACACAAAGAAAATACTGTCATTACCAAACTCCTCTTCACCCTCAGGTTTGTCATCATGTTCCTTAGTATTGGTTTTGATCGGAATCCAGAGGCCAAAATTTTCTAATAACTTGGCCCAATCGGAACCCAAAGCTCTTGCAACAACACCTGCCAATGCATTAGATAAACTTGACATTGCAACAAAATAATCCGAAATACTAAAATAGTACAAGGTCAAAACAATATTGTATAGAAGAGACTGTACCAGCTTCCTCAGGCAAAATCGTTGAATTCAAGATTTTCCCACGAACAAGTCTCTTTACTTTTTTTAGTTTTTCTTTCCGCCAGCTTTCAACTGCCTCTGTGAAACAGAAACAGCATTAACAAAGTAACAGATTGAAAAACAAAATATACACGACGACACAACATAATTCTTCGATTTCATCTCAGCTGTAGCCCAAGATCCATGCAAGTTTTCAAGAGCTATGCAAATGCTCATAAGATCTTAGATCGTATAACAAGTAATCCCAAATGGCATGACAATGGACAAGAAATTATAAGGAAAATAATATATCCAGATGGATATATTTATAATAATTATTTCATCCCTTCTTCGACTTTTTCAAAAGATTTTTTTTTGGATAAATACTGCTAAATGTAGCAATCTGTTCTCCTGAAAGAAATGAGCTGTTAACATATCCAAGATACCAAGCAGACCAAATTATTATACCTACCCATGCCCTTGAACTAGCACTTTAAGCCAAATTTCTACTCAGTTAAGTCAAGGAACACTCTAAAGAAATCAGCTGAAAACAGATCCAAGAAACTTAACAGATCATTATTTCTGACTTTATCCCCGAGCCATGCACATGACCAGCACATTAATACAGACACGATGGACGGTATAACTAAAAACCTCACATGCATAACTAAAAGCACGCGTAACAGATCAAATACAAGAAGCACTCTGCAACCACAAATTACAACATACAAAGCATTCTAATATCCTTCTAAAGATATCTTCCAGCTAATGAAATCATAAAATCGATTTAAAGAGCATCAATGACTCTTAACACTAAACTGAAGACAGATAAGACCAAAATTTAGAATCTAGCCCTTAAGAATCAGAAAAGATGATGCAAACCCACAATTTCTTAATCCATTCAAAAATGACGAGGAAAAAGGCTGTAAATAAGTCATAAAGAAAAGACAGAAAAGAAAATAATTGACACTCTTAATGCCACTTGCGCCAAGCATAGCCCATTACCTTATTTCAAAACAACTGAATAGGGCCAACATGTAGCTGTTTTAGATGGCCTGAACATACTCTATGGCGGCTCCAAAAGATCATATTACATTTCTTCCACTAGATATATCCTCTAACTTATTTGCTTACATTGTTTCTTATTTTCCATTACAGTTCTCGTGGAGAATTTTCACATGAAACTAGACTAATTTTGTTCATCCAATTTTCCATGATTCACAATGTATTTAAATCACAAGATCAAGATCCAGCATAAAGCATTACCTAACTAGATAATAATTTGCTTTTACACTGTCTACAGAACCCTAACATAATCAATCTAACCATTAGCTACAAGACAACTACCAGGAGTTTCATTTACATTCATGTATCACCAATGATTACTAGAATCAGGTCCATCTAAGTTATTACGAGGCATATTCTTTTTCTACGGCTGCTTGGAATTCATACTAACCATAGTACAAATTTACACTGTCAAATAAGTAAATTGGAATGTTCAAGTTCATCCAACTCTTACCCCAAATCAACAACTGGAATACAAATCTAAGTAATTGGGTTCAACTGAACTACGAGTGCCATGTGGGACAAAAGACAAGTTACTCAAAGCTTGAGATATACCAACAAAGCTAAACAGAGATTTTGAACAGCTTAGCATTTTTGAAAAGCGTCATTTCAAGATACATCAACATAATACCCAAAGATTCCCACCAGCAATGCTCATACAACGTCAAATCTAGAAAGGTGGATAATAAAAGTAATTACGTAAAAGGGATTGCCTAACTATAACTAAACTGCGAGGTAAAGTACTTCTTTAAAAGTAATATGATTTTAAGCATTTGCAACTGACAAAGAAAATTGTCCATTTCCTATTGTGGAGAGAGCTTTTACTGCACATGGGCAGGTGGAAGAGAGACAACGCCACCCTCCACTATTTGATAAATATATGCCCAAAAAGGAGAATATAAAGCATTTACATAAAAAGAATTTTCTAAATATAACAAACTGCCAGGTAAGGGAACTTTTCCTGATGACGTATGATTTAAAACATTTATAATCAATCAAAGAGATGGGCCCAAGTCTTATTTTAGAGAGAGCTTTCCCAGCAAACAGGCAAGACGAAGAGAGAGAACGCCCACATCTGCGGGAGGATAGGTTCAGGTATTCCAATCTCTCTTTTAAAAGAGTAACTGAACTTCTTAACCTAATTTACTAGGATGGTTTGATCAACTCTACATTTAGTTCATTTTAGGAGGTTTTTAATAGAAATAAATGGAAGACACAGTTCTATATTCTATATGTCATATCATCTGAAGAGGTATCTAACTTAACATTAAAAGCATTTTAGATACCAAACCTTATCTTATGAGAATTCAATCAATTAATAGATAAAACAAGGCAAGGTCATGCGAATTTCGAAAGTGTCTTAATATTGTTGAGCCAAAATCATAATTTAAATTGATTGTACCATATCATTTTTTTAATATAGCTTGATCTTCAAAAATTATTGCCCATAAACTTAAAATAGCCACAACTCCTATTACCGCTTTAAAGCTTAGTTTTCATGGTCATGAAACTCGAAAGAGACGAAGAAACAGAAGTAAACATTAAAACCTCTAAATTGTATTTAGAAACCGATTGGGATCACTCATTGCATTATAATTCAGCACTTAAAAGGAATATAAGATTACTCTAATGATGGTGAGACTTCTCTCTTTGTTACACTTGACTTGCATCTAGTTTCCGACTTTTGAATCTTCCTATGTATCTTCCAAGGACAGTTACACAGGCACATTGGAACATTTCTTGGATTGGTGCAACAGAAAGCACTAGAAGGGGTGTAATGCGGGTTGGATGCTTGGGATGGCTGTCCCTTATGCAGGCTTAATTAGCCTCACACTGTCTTCTAAAACCTGTTGCCTAGTGCCTACCAGTCCAAATCCTAAGTATATCCTTAATCAGATAAAACATCCATGCAATCCTTTACCAAACTCAGATTCTGGCAACTTTTATCTTACTGGATTTAAGTCATTAGTTTTGGGCCAATCATGTAATGGCACGAAAATGCACTCTTAGATTTATAAGTACAAGTATAGAAGTTCAAGATCAATTATCAGAAGAGCTAAAGCTAGGCCCTACAATCAAAAAAATACCAGTCTATCCTCGAGTATTCATTATATGAGTTAAGTGTAAAAATACTCCTCCAATCAAATTATATCCTTGAGTTGAATTTTTTCTCTAATCAAATAAACAATGTGCAAGTTAATCATGAATGTAATAAATTACTATCCTCTTTACTAAAATAATAAGCTTTCAGATTTGTTGAAGCACCGGAAAATGCTTAAGGGGATAATTCTTTCATCAAAAAGTCATTGATTCCATTTTGTAAATATATGTTCCCAATACTAAAAAATATATACTCCCAAGATAATGAAATATTCATCATATCATAATCTCACTCATTAACGTCTCAAAGAGCACATACTACAAACAGAGGTTCATTATACATCAGTGTTAAGTTTGCATGTTTATGTCGATCCAATGGAATTTAATTAACCCATACAAATAGAGCTCATACTACAACCCTTAACCTACATTAAATTTCACAGTCCTTTTCAATGCACTTATTTTCCCAATATTCACAAATCTAATTCTATTCACTACACAAATATTTGGGCTATTCGATATGAATTATCTTGCACACATAAATTGTTTGTATATAATTCGTAAATATACTATTAAGACTTGGGGATCTTTATATTATGAATTGATCACAAGATAATGACAATAATAAGATAAACAACAACAAATAAGAACATCAAGATTTAAGCAAAAACCCAGCACAGAAAGAGAATTTCATATAATCAATAATGAATGTGTTTACAATATCAATATCTTAATACTTTCAATTGAAATCTAAGCTCCCTCTAACTTTTAAGATGTTGTTTTTAATGTGTATATGGAGATAAAACATTTCGGAACATATATAGGAGCCTCTTTTTGGAGTTATAGATGAAGGAAAAAAACATAAAATCCGAAAAAATCGGGATGAACCCATCACGGTGGCGCTGAGGGGTGGAAATACTAGCAGGGACGCCGGCGTTGCGACGCTGGGCTCCTTGCATTCTTTTTCTTCACGGGGAGCTGCGGCAGCGCCCACTTTTGGTAATTATACCTCCAATGTATTTTTCTTCGTCTCAAAGTCCTTTTCCAAGTCAAACTCTCAATCCTTGATAAAATTTGGTCTTTATTAATTAGGACTCCCAAAACCAAAACTCCTTAAACTTCTTTAATTCAATCAAACACCAAGTCATATGAAATTTTGGTCCCACTACAACACTTTATTAAGAGGTTAACCTTGTTAGAAGAGTAGCCCAATCCATTTTATATGTTGGTTATTTATTTCTTCTCCAACCAACCTGAGATTCACCACTTCACATGCCCTGCATGATGGTATCTCGCTTGAGATCATAATCCTAAGATCCAATTGCTCTTTTGAGCTTTAGATCAAATTGCACATTTGAGCTTGTTGCGCTCTAAACTATATTAAGACTTGGAATTTATCTTGAAGCTCAATCTTTTTTAAAATGTGTAACTCAATTCCTTATATGTTGGTTATTTATTTCATCTATATGACTAATGTGGGATTTGTCACATAACATATACTTATAACCTTGGAGCATTTAATATTTACTCAATTAAAAAATAATGAATTGTGGAATGAATATATAATCACATTTGTAGGACTGATGTCTAATTACATAGAAGTAGATCTTGTTTTCAAAACATTGTTCCTAACGAGCCTTTGTTCGACCGATGTCTAATTACATATAAGTAGATCTTGTTTTCAAAACATTGTTCCTCACAAGCCCATCATCCTACCAGATGAAAAATATACCATATAGTTACGCTCATTTGATCTAGTTCAGAAAGAGGGAAATTATCCCAACCAAAAGATGCATAAACAAGAGAACCAGCACCCATCTCTTAAATGTCCATTCAAACACATTATATGCTAATGCATACCTTTGCAAGTATTCAAATATTCCAAAAGGTAAGAAAGAGTAGCTTCTTCAACAGAAGGTGAACTCATTTCAAAATTCTGGTTTCCAGCTTATTTTAAGGATTTGTGCCAGTAATGCATTTACAAATCCATTTAATATCTATAAATATATCTGTTTAAGGAGATATGCTTATAGTTACACTATGAAGATCGGGTTCTCTATAAAGTAAGGAATTACCCCTTCCATCCAGATCTGAAGGTACCGATGTGAAATGGTATGCAGATTTACACAAGTTAAAAAGGTGAGTATTTGTAATAGTGCTTTCTTTTCCAACATAATTATTCACTTTCCATAAGTATATTACTTATAGTACATGCCTAGTACACGATGTGATACAAAAGGTTTTTTTGCCATTATTTTAAAGGTTATAATGGCCAGCATAAAATAAGCACATTGTGAACACAATCTAAAACTTAAAGCCAATTCAAAGGGGAGGATTCAATTGCAGGCCAACGGAGTTTAAATATTTTTAATCAGAGTATAAGTACTTTTTTGTCGTCAAGTCTTACACACAGTATAAAGTATAAACGCCATCAAGAAATTATTCAGAATTTTATCTCTACTTCTTTAGGTATCTATATTTCCCCTTGCTAAAATTTCAAATCATTTTTATACTCCCGTGTACACCTCTTACATACATTTTTCATTAATAAAATTTTGAATTCATAAAACAAATCTTATAGAGGCTGCAAAATGGAATTCATTGTGTACATCAAGGAAAATAAGAGATTAAAGACATACTGACAATGCAACTACTGAAAAGGGATAGAAAAGAGAAACAAGGAAACTGTTATCACTTTATTTGGACCTCAGTTAGACTTTAGAGTTTTGATAAAATAGAACTATGTTGAATTACAGTATTATGAGCACTTTCCAGAACAGTCAGTTGCTTGATGCCTCATACTGGACTAGGCAGATGCTTCTCTCACATGCTAGAACAGGTTACACCTTGTAAATTGCACAAGAAATGATAAGCAGAAGCCCCGTAGATGGGATTTTCGGGATTTTCTGGGGTTTTCCTTTCAATTCAAAAAAATCAAGCTTTCTGAGTTCTAACTGCTTAGGTATTGGTTGTTCTATACAAATAGTGTGGCCATTGGAAACTGCATTAGAGAAGGTTCGAGAGAGATGAGAAAAAGTAGCTGTCATTTGTAACAATATTACATCAATTGCACTATATCTACAATAGAAGCATCGTGCAACTTGTAAAATTTTTTAAAGAAAATTCATTCTATTTTTTCTTTTTCACGACTCTTCCTATCATGTATTTCTACAAGAAGTTTTTAGGTGACAGTATAAATTAATCTAATAAAAAATATTGTTCTCATCTATAGATGTTTTCATCAAGCTACAGGTAACAAGTGCAATTGTGTATGGAATCAGGAAGGAATAGTTGTCGTTCCTTATTTGGAGAGGAATAGATTGATTATTTTGGTATATACATTTACAGAAGTATACACTCCAATGCTAGTTTTCTACTCTTCCAATTAATACTTGCGCTAGAGAACAATAATAGGCAAACATTCAGTGTTTTCTTGACCGATCAGGAGCTTATTTATGCTAGACTTTGACTAGCATGTATATACAAGGGATACAACCTTTATAAGTTATTCAAAAATCATGAATTTATCCCAAACTCATAAGATAACCAATAAAGATGATGATGGCATCAAATATTTCAGAAACCCCATATGAAACTATCAATTATCCATCTTTCCCAACCTCTTCTTTGTTGAAATAATAAGTCAACGAGTGTTGTGATGTCTGCAAAAGAGTGCAGAGCAGTATTTAGTCCCTAGCTCCTAGCAATTTACAATCATGTACTTAAAAGTTCAGCTCTCTCGAAAATAGTCAAGGATCAAATGCACAGTTGACATAAATATGGGTGAACAACACGGGAAGGTAGACTAATGAAACATAGCCTTTCTATTAAAAATTAAAACAATAGACTAAAAATTTCTTGTTGTCTAGAGAACCTAAATAAAAAAAACTTGGTGAATAGTTCGATCCACTAGGCATTAATTTTATTTTTTTATTTGAGTTTTTCTACATTTTAAATGGAACAACCCACTGAAGATTCAAACTTTTTACTGCTATAAATTCATCTTAGCAGTTAGATAGGCTGTATCCAATCTAAATACGGGTACCAGTAAACAACCATGTCATAAAGAGCAAAATCTTGAATCAAACCAAAGTCCAACCTCGTAAGTGTCTTCATATATAATTAAGGAGAGTTAATTTGAACTAATTCACAACAGCAGTGTCTTCCAATTTGGGGGGATAGGTGTTGCTTCTTCATCATTTTTAGTGTTGTCAAGTAAATTGAAGTTAATTAGTTGAAGTCATGATCACTTGAACTCACTCCTACTTGCTTAACTATTTCTTCAGCTTCACAAACTTAAAAGTCTTGCACAAATTTGTTACTCATATATATTCTATAACCATAGCCAGCACGTCCCTAAACTAAGAAAGGCATTTAATGACTATTAGTCCTCAACCTCGTAATTAGGCCACTTACAATATATTTATATCATCAAACTACGAAACATCTAAATACAAGAAAATGAAGCTTCAAAACAAAATGCTACAAATCAACAATGTAAATGGACAAAAGAAATTGTAAAAGCATGCAACTGAACTAAATATGAAAATCAAAGGTGTATCCACCTTGTTGCACAGTTGCATTGGCACCGGCATTCAAGCTTCTTAATCTGACTAGAATCTCATCTGCTAACTTCTGTTTCAAGTGCTGTGGCAGTTCCACCACTCTTTCTTCTTTTAAAAAATCTTTCTTTAGTTGTCTTACCTTCAATTGCAAACAAATTATTCCCCATCAAATACAGCACAAAACTACAATTCACCCACAATAATTCCCAAAAAACGAACAAGGGACTTCACCAATTTAATAAGTTCGGTAGGCTCTGATGCTTTTCGTATTTGATTTGATTCTTCCATTTTCCTGATCTGGTCTGAGGCGTACCTAAATGCTGTAAACACAAAACCCCATTTTCTCAATGTGCAATGCAAAATCAACAACAAAAATCTCTAGAGAAATCCAAATTTCAAAAAAGATCAGCAAAAGCAATCAACAATAAAAATCCCAGTGGTCACTAAAACGTGCAAATTAACAAATCTCATATCCAAAATAAATAAATAAATCAAACTTAAAGCTCTCGGTGGTGCACCCCAAAGCCTGGATTTTCATAAAACCAACCAATGCACACTGAAACTCAATTAATCAACAAAAATCCCGAATGGGTCCTCAAAAATTTCCGAAGTAACAAATGTGCTCTTACAGGTATCAGAATCACTGAAGGGGTACATGTAAAGAGAAGTGTAGAGATTGCGAAGCACATAGAGAGCAACGAAAATGTTGATGGAACAAACAATGAGTGTCGTCCTCTTGTATGAACACCATTTGCCTCTCCCATTATGGCCCCACTCTCTTCTCGCCATCTCTCCCCCCTACCTCCCTCAACTTCTCCTGCATAGCATCATATTTCTTTCTACATATATCTACTTTTAGGCTCTACGACTTTTTCTTGAAAGCGACGAGGAGAATATTTTTCTGGGGATTTTCTAATGGTTTTAAATGGCACAAACGTATGGAGGTTTTTCTTCAATCTTGAATGTATTCTATATTAAATAATACATCGATACGAAGCTAAAATGTGGGAGTATTGTTCAAGGATTTGGTGTTGCTGCTATTGTTTAGGTGGTGTTTTAATTATTCCTATTAATGTTGTTTATGGCTGATCTGTCACAATTAAGTGGTGAGAGTGAGAAGTTTCTAACGTGCGCCGTGTGTATAGGATTGGTGGTGACTGCACTGTTTGGAAATTTTATGTCGACTAAAGCATGTCCAGTGGTTTATAAATAGTTTTAAAGTGTAAATATATAAAAATAAGTAATAAATAAATTGGTATTACTTATAAATTTAATAAAAAGTAATTATAATATTTATAAATATAAGCCAAACATAGACTTAGTAGTTGTGTTATTTATAAAAAAATTAACGCTCGTTAAATATGACATCAGGTATTATGCCTTCATTGTTAGATGTGCGACAGTGCAATAATGCAAGTTCATGAATCGCTAATAATTAAAAGAGTGATAAGTGTCAATCCATGTGGATTAGCCTATTTATGTCTTAAGTGGTTCGATTCTAATTTTGTTAAATTGCCATATAACACTCTCAAATTGATTTTGTCTTTTTACAAACTAATTAAATGAAAGATAACGAGAAATATTGAAAGCAAAAAAGTGAATTTTTAAGAGAAAATAGGTTGGAATTCACGATTTCGTTTTATCGTCTCCTAATTAATTTTAAATATATAACATATTACCCAATTTCTAACTATAGACCCTATTCTCATAATTTAGCCAATTAACTCACTTAAACGTCAAATTAACTCTAATTGATTGTATTAACCTATTATTTCTATATGTTGATTATTAACATAACCAACCTCATTAATTTTCACGAGAAATAGCTCAAAGAATCACTAAGATTGAGAATCTCTATCTCCTAGAAGAAACAAAGTCTATGTTTGATGGAAATTATTTGAGTAAAATAATGTTTCGAATAGTGAATTTTTGGAGAATACGTGGTTAAAAAGTAGGGAAAAAATTAGATTTACATACAAAATATTTTATTATATGAATATGTTATTGAAAATGGGTACGTAAATTTTTATTTACTTTTTAAATAATGTTTATATCTAGTCTAAAATATCTAATAACTTCTCAAAAATTAAATAAATCACTAAACAAACATTTTAGTGATCAAGCAAATGAAAGATATTGAATACATAACAAGCCTAACATGGAAGTAGATAATATAAATTTATAAAGCGAGTATTAAAATTTATTAGTTCAAGAATATTCATCATAAAATTTAGAAATTTTAACTCAAAAAACATTTAGAGTCGACAACAACATAAAACAATATTTGAAAATTAGAGGGTATAACGTATAATCTATTTCCTGATACTGACGTAATTAGATTGTTACAACAATTAAACCATCTACATTTTATTTGTTCCAATACTTCCATCTGGATTCTAAATAATTTTTTTCTACTCTCCCATTGTACTTAAAAAAAGTTAATTTATTCTCAATTTTCGTAATTACTTACTAATGCTACCAAAAATCGTATATGTCAACTTTTGAGAATGAGCACGAACGAAGTCTTCCGGTACCTGAAACAAAGGCGTCAAGGTGCGTCCTCATCACTCTTCCGATACTTAAGTCAGAGAGAGAATTTGTGAAAAGATATGTGCTAAAGAATTATGTAAAAACATACCTTGACAATGAATTGGAATGATGTATTTATAGAGGTAGGTGGCGCATTCCTTGTAAGATTGGAATGCTGAGATCTCTAGGAGTCATAATATGATTGGTAGTTGCAACTCAATTGATTTGGTATTACCCACATGTTTGGATAGAGACGAGATTCTTAGTGTTAGAGTCCTCTTGGGATGAGGAAACACACTTTCAGTAGGACTCTACTTCCTTGGGCATAAGTCTTGACACGAAGTAGACTTCTAGCAAATTAGGGATTGCACCATTTGAGAGACATTGGTTATAAACTTTGAGGAGGAGTTGTTGGGCCATAGGTGACCTACTAGAGGATACTAAGCTCTGAGAAGATCATCAGGATAGGGACCAAATCGACCCTAAACTCCTCGGGTTTAGTTCTCGGGCGAGCTCATCAGAAATGGGTGTCATCACTTACAAATTTGGGACTCTTTGTTAAAAAGCCCAGTCAAACCATAATTTTGGTTTAAAAAACCCAGCTCAATGTTTCTTGGCCAAATGACC